CACACACACAACACACAACAACACACACACACACACACACACACACAACAATACACAACACACAACACAACACACAACATACACGCACAACACACAACACACACACACACACACAACACACAACAACACTACACACACAACACACACACACAACCACACAGCACAACCACACAAAACACACACAATACACCAACACACAAACACACAACACACAACACCACAACACACAACACCACACAACAACACAACACACAACGCAACACACACAACACACACAAACACACACACACAACACCACACAACACACAACACACACACAACACACACACAACACACACACACACAACACAAACACACAACACACACACAACACACACAACACACAAACACAAACACAACACAACACACCAACACACACACAACACACACAACACCAAACACACAACACACACACACCACACACACTAGCAGGAACACTTAACGAGGGACACACAACAAACACAATGAGAAACACTTAACAAAACACACAAACAAACACAACTACAAACACACAGAAAACCACAAGGGGAAGGACACCACAAGACGAGACAACCACAACAGAAGAAACATAAGAGGAACACACTAAGACAGAACCACAACACACAAAACCACAAAACAACACACACACACAACACAAGCACACCCCACAACACAGCAACACAACTTAAGCGGAGGGGGGAACCACTTAAGCTGGGAGGGGGAACCACTTAAGGGGGGGGAGAACCCACTTAAGTGGGAGGGGAAACCACTTAAACGGGGAGGGGTAACCACTTAAGCGTGGAGGGGGAACCACTTAAGCGGGGAGGGGGAACCACTTAAGTGGGAAGGGGGAACCACTTAAGAGGGAAGGGGAACCACTTAAGTACGGAGGAGGAACCACTTAAGTGGGAAGGGGGAACCACTTAAGTGGGGAGGGGGAACCACTTAAGTGGGAAGGGGGAACCAGTTAAGTGGGGAAGGGGAACCACTTATGTGGAAAGGGGGAGCCACTTAAGTACGGAGGAGGATCCACTTAACTGGGAAGGGGGAACCACTTAAGAGGGAAGGGGGGACCACTTAAGTGGGAAGGGGGAATCACTTAAGTGGGAAGGGGGAACCACTTAAGTGGGAAGGGGGAACCACTTAAGTGGGAAGGGGGAATCACTTAAGTGGGAAGGGGGAACCACTTAAGTGGGAAGGGGGAACCACTTAAGTGGGAAGGGGGAACCACTTAAGTGGGAAGGGAGAACCACTTAAGTGGGAAGGGGGAACCACTTAAGTGGGAAGGGGGAACCACTTAAGTGGGAAGGAGGAACCACTTAAGTGGGAAGGGGGAACCACTTAAGTGGGAAGGGGGAACCACTTAAGTGGGAAGGGGGAACCACTTAAGTGGGAAGGGGGAACCACTTAAGTGGGAAGGGGGGACCACTTAAGTGGGAAGGGGGGACCACTTAAGTGGGAAGGGAGAACCACTTAAGTGGGAAGGGGGAACCACTTAAGTGGGAAGGGGGAACCACTTAAGTGGGAAGGGGGAATCACTTAAGTGGGAAGGGGGAACCACTTAAGTGGGAAGGGGGAACCACTTAAGTGGGAAGGGGGAACCACTTAAGTGGGAAGGGGGAACCACTTAAGTGGGAAGGGGGGACCACTTAAGTGGGAAGGGGGGACCACTTAAGTGGGAAGGGGGAACCACTTAAGTGGGAAGGGGGAACCACTTAAGTGGGAAGGGGGAACCACTTAAGTGGGAAGGGGTAACCACTTAAGTGGGAAGGGGAACCACCTAAGTGGGAAGGAAGAACCACTTAAGTGGGAAGGGGAAACCACTTAAGTGGGAAGGAGGAACCACTTATGTGGGAAGGGGAAACCACTTAAGTGGGAAGGAGGAACCACTTAAGTGGGAAGGGGGAACCACTTAAGTGGGAAGGAGGAACCACTTAAGTGGGAAGGGGGAACCACTTAAGTGGGAAGGGGGAACCACTTAAGTGGGAAGGGGGAACCACTTAAGTGGGAAGGGGGAACCACTTAAGTGGGAAGGGGGAACCACTTAAGTGGGAAGGGGGAACCACTTAAGTGGGAAGGGGGAACCACTTAAGTGGGAAGGGGGAACCACTTAAGTGGGAAGGGGGAACCACTTAAGTGGGAAGGGGGAACCACTTAAGTGGGAAGGGGGGCGCCTACCTCACAAGGGTGAAAAGAATACTGTATTTCTAGGAGGGAAAAAAATGAAGGAAAATAGTAAGAAGGGAAAAACCAGAAAAGAAACAAGTGGGAAGAAAAATGGAAAATAAAGACGAGCTCTTTAAATACATGAAGAACATGAGAAGCTGCTCAATACATTGCATTCAACTGGTATCTAAAAATAAATTATGATTCCTGTTTAAGTCTCGTCCTCAAAGATCATCACCCGAGTCAAATTACATTTATATTTATGGTACGCTTTGTGTATCTGTTTTTTTCTCTCTCTCACTGAATGAATGTTGCAGGAGTGTGTGTGTGTGTGGGAGTCTGTGTGTGGGAGTCTGTGTGTGTCGGAGTGTGTGTGTGGGTGTGTGTGTGAGTGTGCGTGTGTGTATGTCTGGGCGAGCGTGGGAGTGAGTGTGTGTGTGTGTGTGGGAGTCTGTGTGTGGGAGTCTGTGTGTGTCGGAGTGTGTGTGAGGGTGTGTGTGTGTGAGAGTGTGTGTGCGTGTGTGTATGTCTGGGCGAGCGTGGGAGTGAGTGTGTGTGTGTGTGTGTGTGTGTGTGTGAGTCTGTGTGTGAGAGTCTGTGTGTGAGAGTCTGTGTGTGGGAGTCTGTGTGTGTCGGAGTGTGTGTGTGGGTGTGTGTGTGTGAGAGTGTGTGTGCGTGTGTGTATGTCTGGGCGAGCGTGGGAGTGAGTGTGTGTGTGTGTGCGTGCGTGGGTGTCTCGGCGAGCGTGGGAGTGTGTGTGGTGAATAGAAAAAGAGTGCAGCGTTTCCCAATCTCTGAGCAGGAAAGTGTATATCAGTCAATAAATCAGTCTGTCCTCCAGTCAGAACAGTCAGCCTCACACGACCTACACTTCAGCACTCTTAAAATTACAACAGTAATTACTTAAGTTAACCTACGCAACCAAGACTTCAATTTTATTTCCCATCAATAAAATACATGTGGGACGTACACTGAAATTCCTGCCTTCCACTGCCACAGGCAATAATGGTGCCGCCCAGTGTTTCTCGGGACAGTTCACAGCAGCTTACGTTAAGTAAAATTCGCCAATAAACAGGACAAGTCTTTGGTCAAATGATGACTCTCCACTGGAGCTTTTGGTCATCTGACAGAGGCCTTCCACTAGCTTACCAATCTACCAGTTTAAAAATTAAGGTTATAATTAGAGCCATTTGTTATTATAGTTCAGAGGAGCCCCCTGGTTTTCAAATATATCGAAATATGGAGCCAGGTCGACTTCGTTACCCATGAGAATTGTGGCAGCAACATTTTCATTGTCAGTAACACTATTCCCGGTTCTTTTATTGTTTACGTCAATCCTTCTACCACACCACAGCCCATCTCACTGCCACTGTTCTCCAGTAAAGGCTCGCTAGTCAGCTAGCAACTTACTCTAGTCTAAACCAACAGCAGCAACGCTAAGGCACAAGCTCCACAGAGCTACAATGGATCGGCTCTGTCGCTGTCAGTCCCTAAAGATTCCTGTTTCAGCCTCTTTATGTTCAGACTCAGAGCCGAATTGGAGCAGTTGTATGTTCCTCAGTTGTTCACTGCCTCGTCACCAAGAACGTCCAGTGTTTTCCTAGGACTAAAGGGAAGAACGCCAGACATGCCAACGATACCTGGCATATATGCTATATCACGTTCCATGTACTCTTACTATCTAATTTATACAGACGGTCCGTAATTAAACTTCGCCCCTGACATAAAGTCCTTCTAGTCTGCCTTCAAATTCCGAGTATTTTTGATGTAAGAGCACATATAAAGGGTAGAAAAAATTCTTGAGATCGAACTCCATGTTTTAAACGTTGATTTGGCCTCAATCCCCTCCAGTGCTATCTAACTCCCTTTACTAAGGTGGTATTTATTGATAAGCAAATTTAATACTAAAATTAAACTATGAAGTTCGTTTAAAAGCTACTTAAGACGGAACTAAAACGTTAGTAAGTCAGTAAATAATTATTTTGAGTTTAATGCACTCCAAGGGAACAATGGGTATTAATATATCATTATGTGTAGTAGACTCTATTTATAGCTAACATTAATGTTTATCTTATCTCAGAATGCAGGTGGGCAGAGTAACTCTCAGAAGTCGCCTATTGTAGCCTGTGGTAAGAGCTTGGCTGGTTCAAAATATATCAAATCAAAATTTTATTTCTTCGTGTAGTACACAAACTGTAGTTTACATGTAATAAAGTACTGATGAGCACAAAGAATGCCACTGACATGCATGTACATTTCGACTCCACGAGGGACATGAAGGCTGCATGTCACCTCTTCACCACCAGTCAAGAATACTTTAATCTCTAAAATGGTGATTAAAGTCAACTCTGTATATATATATATAAATAAATATATATATATATATATATATATATATATATAATATATATATATATATATATATATATATATATATATATATATATATATATATATATATATATATATATGTATATATATATATACTGTATGACTGGGATCAGAAAACCATGAATTGTATTTTCCAGGTAACGACCAAACTTACTCTCAGTCATTTATATTTATTATTAGTTATAATTTATGTAATTGTGCTTTTGTTTACCTTAAGGACATTAGGGTAAGATTATTTAAATATTGAAAAGCGATAGTTTAGGTATAGCTGTCCTTTGTAAACACCTACACCTCCCCACCCTACCTCCACACCTCCCCACCCTGCCTCCACAACTCCCCATTCTACCTCCACACCTCCCCATTCTGCCTCCACACCCTATATCTAACCTTCTCATCCCACTCTACCTTTATCCTCCTATTCCTACCTTCTTGGCGAGCGTAGCGGTAGGCAGCGAGGGTGTAGGTGTGGGCGCACGTTTCTTAGGCCGCCTTCTGGAGCGTAGAAATCCCCATGGTTTCATGGTGGACCACATAAAGGCCATGGGTAACCCACTAGTACGTCCCAGGGTCCATGGTCTGACAGTATCCTGGGGAGGCACTGGAAGCCTCGGCTAAGGCCATGAGTGGCACAGCAGTGCCTCCCAGAGCCAATAAATTAAAAGTATTTTTGACACAAAATAACAGACGTCAACGCCATTAGATGGCCCAATAGCGCCTCAGACACCCCATCCTAATGTTTCCAGGAGAAGAAATGGCCACACGAAATTCTTTCGATCGATCGAAGTTCTGTATAGTTTCGTGTCTTATTTCAATCAGGATTCGTTTAGCACAAATTCTTGCCAGAGAAGCCTATAGACAAATAAGTATGTGCATGAGTATCCCTGGCCAGTGTTATGAGGATCAAACTACAGAGGATCCCTCCACTGTACACTTGTCTTTTCAAATCCCAAAACTGGTGTTTGGATTTTTTTGTGGATTATAAACGGTGAGATGATCCGCCTACAATTTCTACATTCCAAAATGGTTCTAGGCGTTTTCTGACATATGTGAAATTTCAACTATAGCAACACAATACATAACAGAATTGACGCTATACTGCGTAGAAAATTAAACTACTGTAATTTGAGATCAGTCTTTGTCACCAAACTACATTTATCTCACACCAATCATACACTTCTGGCTAAAATTCCTCGCATTTCTATAATTCGCAGTAATATCAAGACCTTCTTGAACAGCAGTTGCACCACCAAACTACCAGAGGGACTGAGGCCTCCTTCAGGTGTACCCAAATATTAATATCGGAAAAAAGTTAGCAACCTCAAAATATCTGACAGGTGATTGGTCATTCAGAGAGATGGTGCTGTTGTGTGATTGGTGGAGTGACGGAGCATGCGCAGTGTCATTCTCTAAAACTTGGCACTATTAAGGAGGAATGTGAACAATAGCCAAAGAAGCTGAGATATATATTATTTTGTGAGAGGTGGAAGCAGGAAGCAGGAAGAGTTAGGAGGAGGAGGAGGAAGAATAGGAGGAGAAATAGAAAAAAAAAGATGAGAAAAAGCAGAAAACAATTATTATTATTATTATTATTATTATTATTATTATTATTATTATTATTATTATTATTATTATTATGATGATGATGATTATGAATATTACTATGATTATGATTATGATGATTATGAATATTATGATTATTTTATGCGAGATATTAACCCGGTGGGTCGGTGTCCCAAGGTAATCTAAGAAAGTCAATATATATATATATATATATATATATATATATATATATATATATATATATATATATATATATATATATATATATATATATATATATATATATATATATATATATATATATTATTATATGTATATATAATTTCTCCTGAAATTCCTTGGTCTTCTTTTCCATTTTCCAGTATGCGGTCCACAGCACTGTCTGACAGTCAGGTATTTGCTGTCTGTCGAATAAGACACATGTTCTACATCTGAGTGTCTGTGAGAGACGTCTCGCCAAGCAGGTGCCACACCAATCACATAAGACTTACACAGGGAAATCAGAGGTTAGGTTAGGTGAGATTTGTCAGGAAACAGGACAAGTATTTCCTGATGACTCACAGCTGGAGGTTTTGGTCATCTGACCGAGGTCTTCCGCTGGCTAGCAGGGGGCAAGTTTGGTATTAATTCACGAGAAAAAAGCGCTAAACTCCTCGGAGCTGTAGAAAAGTGAAGTCTGGTTACGTTAGTTAACATATTTAGCTCTATATTTAGTCATAATAAACGGAGAATAACGAATTAGGTAAATAAATGAGTGCGGTACGTCGGGCGGGGTGAGCCCCCCCCCCCCCCCCCCCCCCCATTTTTTTGTAGTTTCTCCCCCAAAACGATAAAAAACAAATGAAGACGGATTCCCAAACCCAAATTCCGGGAATCCAAAGTCACAAAAGCGTTGGGAGCCAATACGGTTCCACGAGGAGCTGTTATTTTGTTTGAGTGTGAAGGGTTTAAGTGTGACACAGATGACGTTGCTGCCGGTCTGAAAGTAAACTGTATGATCCCTAAATATGGACTATGCTTTCTTTAAATTTAGCCAAAGGGATACACACACACACTACACACACAAAACTGCAGGGGGCCAAGAGAAATACGATGGAGCAACGGGAGCAATATCGACCACTAGCCGAGGGGGCCCGGGAGGGGCACAAAAGGGGGGGAAAAGTTACTAGTTATGGGTGATTTCAATCAAAAGGGAGTTTGGGAACGGGGAAAAACCTGGAGCCCATGGGGGTCCCGAAACATGGAAGCCAAGTTTGATGGATTTTGGTACGGGAAAAACCCTCACCCATAAACCATTTTTAGAGACATCCCAGAAAAGAGAGGAGGGGTGTTTCCGCAAGACGGGGCCCTTTATTAAACCTTTGGGAGTATTTGGGGACATCGAGGGAACCCTGTATGAAAGGCCCCGGGGAGCTTATTGACTTTGTGGTCTGTGTTTCGACTAATATTGACTCCAATTGGAAAAAGAGTAGCGGGAAGGGGGCGGGGAAAAAAAAAACTAAAAAAGGGGGAACAACTCAGGCAGAGGAACTTCCTTCAAGACAACCAGTGGGGAGGGAAATTTGACAGGAAAACCAGACAAAAAATGATGGACTATTTGGCAACAAAATGAAAGGGAAGGCAGGGAGGGGTTTTTGCCCCCAAGGGGAAAAACAGAAATAAGGGGAAAACAGAACGAGTCCTTTGGTTCACCCAAAGGTGTGGGGGAAAAAACTAGGTTTACTAGAGAAGGGAAAAAGGGTTACAGAAAACAGAAAAACTCAGAAAAAAAGAAATTACCCGAAGACCCAAAAACAAATATGCACAGATAAGAAGGGAGGCTCAGAAAAACAATTAAAAAATGACTTACCCATCAAAAGTAAAGACGGCCCAAAAAGCTTTGAAACAGCCACATAAGGAGGAAAACAACATAAAGGGGACCAGGTAATCAGATGGGAAGGATGAGGGGGAATTTCCCAAAAGGGAAACGCCCAAAAGGGGTTTTCCCAGGAGCTCAAAAACAAGATTTAAAGAGGTTTTTACAGGGGAAAGATTGGGACCCCAGGAAATCAGAACAGGGGGCACACCAGCAAGTGCTGGATAGGTAAAATTAACCCAAGGGGGATTGAAAAAAGTGCTATGCAATTTGGGACCCCTAAAAGGGCCCGGTGGGCCCAACAACATCTCTCCATGGGCCCCTTAAAAGAGGGGGGGCAGAGATTTTGTGTGAGCCTTTAAACAAAGATTTCAACACATCATTTAAAAGGGAAACTTCCCTGGGGTATGGAAAATGGCAAAATGTACCCCAAAATTTTTAAAAAAATGGAGACATACTTTGGGACTAAACTTTTGTATGAAAGGGTCAGGGAGAAGATCACAGGGGGAAAAGGGGGTGGAGCACCCGGAAAGAAAAATTTGTAAATTGACAACCAGAAACGGTTTCGGGGAAGGAAAAAATCCTGTGTCACAAAACCTACAAAGAGTTTTATGCAAAGGGGGGAACAGAATTTAAGAAAAGAGAGAGAGGGGTGGACCCGACTGCATTTTTTTTGGGACTGAAAAGAAGGCCTTCAAACACTTTTCCCCCAAGGGGGTTACGCAAAAGCTAGGGACCCGGCACACATAACAAAAGGAGGAAAGGGAAATTCAAGAATACCTGCCCGGGGGGCCCAAACAACGAGCCCATGGTACGCGACAAAGGGGGGTGTCAGGGGGTGGGCGCCTGTGAAAAGGGGGGTTTTCCACAGGGGTCAGTCCTAGGCCCTGTGTTGTTTTTTGGGTATTGTAAAAACGCCCAATAAGGGAAAGGGGATAGATTTCAGAAGTGCCCCCTGTTTGCAATGATGCAATTTAATGAGAAAATAAAATTCGGATGAGGATCACAAGCCCTACAAAGGGCCCCGGGACGGGTTTCCAACCCCGGGTCCGAAAACTGGCTCCTTAAATTTTTTAACTCTGTTAAATGCAAAGTCATGAAGTTTGGGGGAAGGGCAAAGAAGCCCGCGATACAATAAAAGTTTAGATGGCCAAAGACTCCCAAACCTCATTAAAGGGAAAAAAGATTGGGGGGGAGTAAAAACACCGAGCATATCTCCTGGGCCACATAAAATCAGATAACTGCTGCAGCTTTACGGGGCCGGGCCCAAACCTAGGGATAGCGTTCCGTTTACCTCAGTAAGGATTCGTTTAAGACTCTGTAAAAAATTTAGGGCAGGCCCATACTGGATTTGCAAAACCAGTTTCGAATCCCCCTGGTAAAAGCACGTCAAGAAATTAGAGAAAGTGAAAAAGGTTTGCAAACAAGATATTTCCAGGGGCTACGGGGATTGTCCAAACGAAGAAAGGTTGAGGGAAATGGGCCGACAACACTGGGGGACGGGAAAGGGTCAGGGGGGGACATGATAACAACATAAAAAAAATATTTGTGAAAAAATAGAAAGGTGGACAAAAAGGACGGGATGTTCCACAGAAGGGACACAGACACAAGGGGCCCCAAAAATTGGAAGTTGAAGACTCAATAATCGAAGGGATTTTTGGAAGTATTTTTTTCCAGTCATAGATAGTCGGGCCCGTGGAAAAACCTAAAAAGTGACTTTGTGGAGGCGGGAACCTTACATATTTTTTAAGGCGAGGTTTTATAGAGCTCATGGGGCAGGGAGAGGGGACCTAGTAGCAATCAGCAAAGAGGGGGGGCCCCAGGAGCGTGACCAAAACCCCCTGCAACCACAAATAGGTGAGAAACATACACCCCAAAAACACACACACACACACCCCCACCACATCAAAAGCAACATATACCCATTTACAAAAACAAAACTCACGGAAAACAATAACAGATGCAATTTTCCCCACCGGGATACCAGTTTCTGAGGAAAGATAAAAGGGGGGCGGGGGGGGGGAGGGGGGGTTGCCCTTGCTCAAAAAAAACAGATGGAAATTCGAAAAATGGAAGGCTAGAGAGACGGGAGAAAGAGCCCAAATTTCAGGTCCCACTTCAGTTGGGGAACACAAAGTGGTCATTGCAGTGATTTTATAATCCCCCACAGAACTGCAGGGGGCCAAAGGGGAATTTATAAGAGAGCAACAGAGAAAAGGGGACACATTTCCCGAGGTGGAAAAAAAGGCTTTCCACAGAGAAAAGTTGCTGGTATGGGGATTTAAACCCACAGGGAATTGCCGGGAAAAACCCCTTTAAAGCCAGGGGGGGTCCCGAAAATAAAAGGAGAGCCAGGTTTTTGGGGACGTGGTGCGGAAAACCTCATGAAACCAATTTTAAAGGACATCCCAAGTGAGAGGGGAGGTGAACCAAAAGGTTTGGGCCCTTTTGTGTTCACCCGGGCAGCTCTGACTTTGGAGGCCTTTCAATATGGGGAATCCCCTAGGAGCTAGCGACCACGGGGTCTGTGTTTTGGGAATTTAATAGTAGAGTTTGCAAGTGGAAGTTTAAGGGGGTTTTGAAGGGGGAAAAGCCTGACTATAAAAGGGGGGAATAATAGGGTTGAAGAATTTCCCCTGCGGGAGGCCCCAGGGGGACAGAAAAACTGGCAGGAAAGCCAGTAAAATGAAATATGGAATATTAAAAAAAAAAATGCAAGGGGGCCGTGGAAAAGTTTTTCCCCCAAGGGAAAAACAGTAACAAGGGGAAGACCAGAACGGCCCCTATTTTTACCCACGGTGAAAGGGAGGCAAAAACAAAGTGCAAAAGAGAAGGGAAAAAAGTACAG